ATTATTTCAGTGCACTTTCTCTCTGTTTTCCTTTTTTTTTTCCCCCTTCAATTTTGTGAGAGTGATTCACACCACTTGCTGTTTGAAGAAGAAATGGATGTTTCTTTACTGAATCATCAACTTAAAATATACTTCGTATTAATCTAAATAAGAACCGTAGGAACAACCAAATGTAAAAAGAACACTTACAAACTCAGATCCTTGATTTGCCTACATCAGTTCTGTGCAGCAGAACTGCAGCAGTTTTATATAGCCTGGTGAGGATTGTTGCCCTCATTTATGCAGTCATTGTAGACATTGGAGATGCACAGAAGAGCATCTAAGGGCATTTACACTGTGCGCTGTTTTACGTTGAAATGTACATGTTATTGAAAACAATAGCATTTTTGTTATTAAAAGTCGATTTATATTATAAATCATGAGGAGACGATCTTATTTTTCAGTTATACCCCTTGTTTCTTTAGTGCTTTAAGTTCTGTTTAATGGTTTCAGTTCCATCTGATATTTGTATGGAGCTATGAGGGGTCAGAAGTTCAACCTATAAAGGAAAAGTTGCTTTCAGCATCAGCTTGAGCAGGCAGTGCAATGCTCAACTCTTCCTGTTTGTGCAGTGTGGGCTACAGATGTGGTTCCACTGCAGACTTCATATTAAAGTAGAAAAGAAAACCTGTTTTGATGCTGTAAAATTGCAATGTGGGAATTTAGAGCTGGAAAAAAAAAAAAAAGATTTAAGTGGGGAAAAAAGAAGGCAGTGCAAAAAAGGACCTGCAAGTTAGAGGAGTGAATTAGGTCTGCAGAATTTCTGTGGCTAAAAGCAAAGAATGAATCAGATTTGCCACAACCAAGTAAGTGGGGATTTCACTGATCTGGAGCATCTGATCTGCTACCATGTGAAAAACTCGATTGAGATGGAGAAAATGGAAACTCAGAGTGTGATTATGAGGTGTGTAAGCAGCTGGCTAAAGGAAAGAAGGAAAGACTGAAAAGAAAGTGGGGATTGGGGGCATTTGCAAGTGGAATTTCTTACGTATCAGTCTTGCAACTGAATAGGGTTAACTCTTCATATAGGGTTAACTTTTTCGTGAATCACTGAAACACAGCTACTACAAGCCTGGGATTGATGAGAAGTTGAGAAGCACTGATCTAGAGAAGGTTCAGGAAACACAAAAAAATTCCTACGAGACTTGGCAGAGAAGTTTGAGTGGAATAAGATGTTGCAGTACAAACAGTAGCTCATGCAGATGAAAATTAAAGTATTTTGCTATATTTCTTGTTAACTGACAACAAAACAAGCTCGGTTGCAGAGTTTGTCACAAGATGACTCAGATTCAATCTGATAGTCATAAAAGCTCAGCTGCACCCCAAGACAGATTTCCTATTGAGAACCACTCAAGCCACTGTGCAAAGGCCTGGTGGGCTCCTGCCAGACAGCTGTGTACAGTTACAGACACCAAATGTTTAAGTGAAATTGCAGTAGCTAGATGAGAAAACACTGAAATGCCATCAGTAAAGTGGATAAAATTCTGCAAGATACAACCAGAAGAACTTGATATTTTTTAGCCTAAAACACAACTGTATCTGATGCCTTTATAAGAAAGTAATCATAAGACAATTTAATAAGTACAGCCACAAGGAGTACAAGCAATTAGAGATAGCTATTGGCTGAAAATTGTTCTGAACCTTAGAAAAACTCTTCTTACAATCAGGTGCTGACAAAAAAAAAAACCCACAAACAAAACAAACAGTCAGACAACAACAAAACAACATAAAGCAAAAGAAAGCCCCACCACTTTTACAAAGCTGTTCATAAAGCTCATAAAGAGCTGTAAGCAGCAGTGCCTACACTAACAGGAGTCTCTGCAGGAGTCAATGCAGCTGTGTTTGGCTGCACAAGCTGTTGGTCTATGACAGAAGATAGGAATGGTTCCTGCTCTGCCCCGTTTTGTCCATGGCATTTGCAAAGCAGAAAGCTGTTTTTCAAAACCAGGCCTAGCTATCTTTTAGCATTACATGTTTTCATATTCCACTACTCATTTACAGACTGAATTACTAGGATTTATAGATATGAAGCCATAGGTGCAGACAAGTGTCTTGCATTTTCTTTCAGAATAAAGAAAGACTGAAAAACAAAAAACACCTTGACCTGGGCTTTGCCAAATCCTTTCATCTTCGTCACATTTTCTGCTCAGTAAATAGTGCTAGAGAGCTCACTTAGCCACTACTCAGGAATATTCTGAACCCTAATTATTTTCTGGTTCTTAAGTGATTTGAAGATACGAAACAATAGGTGACGATGACAAGAATTTCAATTCTATTTCAAAATAATTTGAAACGCTCCTACTTCCTTAGCAGCACGTAGAGCACAGTCCCAGTGTGCAGCATTATAAACACCAGGTGCAGCTTCTAAGCATTTGGCCATTATTGAGTTATAGAAGGGCAAAAAACGAACAACGAACAGCTTATGACCTCAGCTTCTTCACAACAGCATAGCACGTAGGCTAACTGATGAAGTATCAGAGATTAATGAAATTAATCCAGTAAATTGTGTAGCACTGCAGTGATAAAATATAAGTTCAAATAAATGAGATAAATGCTCAGGAGTTATTAACCTTAATGGGGAAGAAAGGCTTTCCAACAGTGAATTTTTCCTTCTTTGTAGAATGAGAACCCTGGCTTTGATGAGCACCACTGCCCCACCACTGGGGTCCCATCCTTCTCTATGCATAAATCCATATTTTCCTGTTAAATAACATGGTGCAATAGCAGTTTTGATGGTGCTGTCACAGCATTGCTAGGCTACGTTACTAGAAGAGACTTTCTGTTTAATAGAAACAAAAGAAATCCTAGTGTCCTTAAGACAGGGGTTTGAGTGCTCTCTCACTGTGCCCAATTTCTTTTGCTCTACTGAGCAATTCACTTTTCTCCTTTGGGGAGGGAACTAAGTAACTAACTGTTGTCATTGGCATTGTGAAGAGTCAAAGAAGAACTGTAAACTGTTTTGAAAAGTGTCAGCGCTGTACGAATATCCTGTAGAAACAGAAAGCTAGATAGAAAAAAAAGATAAAGGCTGTAAGGATACAAATAGAAACCTCTTAGAACAACAGGTTTGCTTTTCATTATTAGCCTTTCACAGATGTTTTTAGATGAGCTAAGACTCGTCTGGACATTGAAAATCACTGCACTAATCCAGTGCCGTAGAACACACAAATCCTTGAAGATGACAAAGGACTTTTGAAAGACCTTTAATTTTTACACTTTTCACAAAGCACAGGAATGGCTGCACTACTCTGACCATAGATTAGACCAGATTTAAAAGGCTTTTGAAAGTAAACTGGTGAGCAACTATAGGAGCACGAATAAGATTGCTGTAGCATTCCCGCATTTACAGCTCATTTTGCACCTAAGATCAATTACCTCATCTAGGCAGGGAGGGCAATGCTGAAATGACACAAGCTGTACAGTATGCTTCTGCATAAAACACACCTTGACACGGTTTTAGGAAAGTGTTCCAGAGATGATATTTTTGTACCAGTTTATAGGACTGGCATTTTCAAATGTTTTGTAAAGAGAAAAGAATGTACAGAATATTTTAGAGTTGTTTTCCAATTATGTTTGAGGGATTTTAGTGTACTAATAGTGTTATATTTTTCTTCATGTTCTGTATTTTTAACTAAACACATGTATCCTGCATTAAGATAAAAGTCTTAATATAATTTGTTCAACTTCTTGTGTTGTATTGTCAAATCCATGTTGTCATTTTAGTATTACTCTTGTGTGTGTTTGGTATATTTTGTGCTCTGTGTCCATCAGAGTTGAAATATCTTAATGATGGACACAGATGGTCACAATGATGGATCTTCTATCAGAGAGGATTCCAAGCACTCCTTTTGGGTTCGGAAGGTTGAAAGATAGCTAAATGAGGGACATTTCTATTGGGTTTTTTAAATTTCTGGGGTTATTGCTATTTAAGCAGAACCTTTTTGGACTTCACAGAGTGAGAAAGTAAATGGAAAACTGTATTCTAAGGTCAAGTCCGTTTTGTTTTATGGGACACGGGACAATTAAAAAAGCTCTATCCTGCTGTGTGTGAACTGCATTGTGTCTCTGTAGGTCGTGGAGTAAAGAACTAAGTCTCTTGCCCTTCTTCTGAAAAAAGAGTGACAAAAACTGGAGCCAAGATGCATTGCTGCCATTAATCCCCCCAGCTGAGAATGTAAAATTTCCTGTGAGTCTAAGAACAACCCTGAGTCTCCTCACAGAGTATTAAACTCAAATCTGCATTCAGAACATCAAAGTTGGTGACAAAATATATTATTCCCATGGTGTATGCATGGCACTAAAAGCATAGTAAGAGGAAATTCTGGACAGCCAGCTAGACTTCACAGATCAACCTTTTACTCCTAAATGCCTTCTGCCTCTGATCTACTTAGATTGCTAATGCTCTCTGCTATCTCTAGCATGGGAATTCTTGTCATTTTCCAGTCTATCCAGGAGATATTCTATTTGCTGGAAGAGTTACTGAAGAAATTAAATATGCACGTCTGAAAGGATTCAATAGCTTTCCAATAAAAAAAGAGGACAACACGAGAGTTAAGTCACTCATGTTTCTGATCAACATACAACCATTTGTGTTCCCTCTCTTCATAGCAATAAAGAGAAACACTGCCAAACAAGAAATCAAAATCCGCTGTATCCTGCACATCCTTTGTGGAGTTTTGTTCTGTTATTTGCATTAGCAAATTTCTTACATTCTGAAAGTCTCGTAGCCTGAATGTTATGAGGCAAGGACAAGATTCTAGTATTTAAACATTGGTTTGAAGATTGGTTTTATTTCCATTGCACTTGCAAGAAAATATATGACACTGGAACAGAAACCAAAGAGAAGCAAACTATGTCAGCATGCCAAAGATAGAAGCAATAAATAATGAGCTACTGTCCAAGCAGTATTTTATGCTGGAGAAAAGTGACAGATATCAAAGAATGAGGAAGTTGATACAGACCTCCCCTATTTCCCTGACAAATTACGCAGAGATGTGTGGTCACTCCTCCAGCTTTTAGAGAAATATAATGTTTCATAGGTTGTTTTACAGAAAAAGCCTACATAGGAAGAAAAGGAAAATCAGAAAGATAAATAGGTGTTAGGAATTCAAGTTAAGGAACAGCTTAGCATGGATCACACACAGAATTAATCTTACCCTGAAGTAATCTTACAGATCTGCATTAAGACTCCTCCAATGTTCCTCAACATAAGAGCCCTCTCTGTTTTTTCATCTATACTTTACTGGCATCGGTTTTTATGAATTTCCTGTTCTTTTCCCTGGTGAATTTGACCAGTTTACTCTACAGCCTGCTTTCTCGTTCAATCCTAGTCACCTGGGCAATTGGCTGGTCACCGGAGAAGGAATTAACTGCTTGCTTACTGGAAATCAATTAAGATGTCTGCATTTTTTTCACATTACTGTTCAGCAGGGACAGAGAGGCAGGGACTGTGACTCTGCCAGTTCTTTGCCTTACAAATCTTAGCAGCGTGTTCAGTAGCTTAGGTATTTGTCTTGAACAAAGAACAAATACCAACAGAGAAGCTTCAGAATTAGAACTTCTAATAGTAGTGCCAGTTCTAACTGCACCTGTAGCTAGCACTGAAGTGATGTGAAGGAAAAGCTACCTGTAGTAGTGGTTCATCAGGAGGCACGTTGCTGCTGCTGAAAATGCCAAAGGCAATGCTAAAGGCCTGCCATCCAACTGTGCTGTGCTTGCTGTCTGCTCTCAGCTCACCAGCTGCTGTGATTACCAACAGGGAGACAGCTGCAGCCCAACCAGACCAGAACTAGGACACCCTAGAGGCCATTTGCTTCCAAATTTCCTCTACAAGGAGAACTAGATTTTAAATCTGCCAGGCTGGAGCTGCCCATCTGTTGTAAGCACAGGTATACAACAAGAAGTTCTGGGAAGAAGACAATTATACTTCTCTTCTTCACCCTGTTTCTACCTGGACACTACATTAAGCTAGACAGACTTTTGCTACAGATGATATACGGCCTCAATCTTCAGTGTTTCTATGCTTTTATTGTTGCTCTGTGCTCACAAAAGGCTGGGAGTATTCTTCAGTGTTTTAATTGCTTTCATCTTACAAATAGCTTTCTATTAAAATAAAGGTCTATCTGTCTTGCATAGAATTGCTCTGTTTTACACTGACAATTCCACCAATGCATCATACTTTTGCTTCTTCAACAGAGGATAACAATCTAGCAACCCTGCTCATACACTGGTCTCTACACAGACTCAGTAAAATCATTCAGGCTGAGAAAAATGATGTTTGGACATCAGGTTTGCTGCACTGTGTGTTTAAGGTTGTATTTTTAGTTATACTGTCGTTATCCCAAGGTCTCATGAAGACTGACAGCATTCTAAGATCAGTACAAAACAATACCTTCTGTCTGGAGCAAAAAAGAGTAAAAATTACCTTTTTGTTGGTTCTTCCTCACAAAAGAAATGACTTCTTTTTAAAACTGTAGCTCTGTTGAGTTTTGATAGCAGAAGCTACGTCCTGTTCTTTGATCAAAATGAGTTCTCTGTGGAAGAGAAGAACAAGAAGGGTGAAACTGGGAAGAGTGAAAATGTAGATGGAACATGAAGAAACATTCCTAAGTGCAATAGGAGTGCAAGTACAGATAGAATGCTGGTACAATCCCTTAGGAGCAGTTCTGAGCATTTGAATCTTACAAAGCATACAGTTTGAGAGACCACAAATGAACTATGAAATTCCTACAGGAATTTCACACAGTGAAATCTTAGGTTGTGCTGTACATTAGATAACGATCATAATAATCCCACTGGAGCTTAAATCTACTGTGAAAAAAATTACTGCCACATTAATGTGACTTCTTGTAATATAGGAGCACTCAGCCACTGAGTTTCACAGTTACAACAAAAAGCAGCCCTTTCCCAAAGGGAGCCACAACCCAAAACTCAATTGTTTTTGAAGAGCTTTGTACTCAGTTCCTCACAAAGGAGGACTGTTAGCCTGGACAAGCCAGGCAAACTGCCGCACCACCCAGAAAAAATAAAGCTGCGCCTACCAAAACTCAATCCTGAACAAATTGCTGAGACTGTAAGTCAATTTCTGATTCGACTGGAAAGAAAGCAACGTGAAACTCCCAATTCTAACACTTCTGAACTGATTTTAACTGTTTCCTATCCTGTAGCAGTTTGTCTCGGCAAAGCTGTTTACTTTAGGTCAGTTCATGAGCAGCTCGCCCCTGCTGCCAGTAATTAAAGGTAGTTAGCAGCTCCCTGGGTGCTGCAGACAGCTGTGTTACAGCCACTCCTTCAGTCACAAGCAGGGGAACTGCTCTGATGCTGAGCAGGCTGCATTTTCTAAATGGAAGCTCCCTTGGAGCTCCTTCACAGTCCCTGGTAGCCACGATTCACTGTCTGAAAAATGCTTCTGCATGCCAAAATGATGGCTCATTTTGCAAGATGTCAATTAATGCCTTGCAGAGTCTGCAAAAAAAAAGTCAATTTTTAATGAATTAGAATTAAAATTAGTAATTAATGCTTGAATCAAGTGATTATTTTCTTGATCCTGCTTAAAATTAAATTTGGTTATAAGCACTTCAAAGGGAATGAGCAAGGAATCATTATTATTTAATCAGGTTTAAATTACTTACATAATTACCTACATGAGTGACGTATTTTCATCTCAAGATAATTCAAAATAATTAGTATGGCTTTATCACAAATTTAATGTGCAAAAACCTAACTGAGATTAGCAGTGCCTGAATACTTGCTTTTTTGGGGGATGGAATTTATCTGCAAATTATTGCACCAAAGTTAATGAAGCTATCATATGAATACATTGTGTGGAAAGTGATTTGGAAAGGATGCCTCATTTATCTCTGATTCCACATGGTTTATTTTTCAGGGTTTTTTTTTTTATTAAAGTTTTGTGAAATAATAAGCAATTTGACAGCCAATACACCAACTATTGTGTCTTGCTGCAAGAAATAACAAATCTTAGGCCTTGTTTCTATTGTTGAATTGTTCTATTGGGCCTTGTTACCTATTTGGTGTAAATCAAGGGTAGTTTCCATATATGCAGTGGAATCACAATGCTACACAGCACATCCAACCCCACACAGATTTTCATATGCTAAAGTAAAAATTTTCAGTTTTTTAAACGCTGACCAAAGGATTGAATTCCTGTCTGTGTACACAGAACTTCACAGATCACAGCTGCCTCACAGACCTTGTTTACGTATGAGGAAGAAATGAGGAAAGTATCCCAAGTATTTTTACCTTCTCAAGCAAACAAACTTTTTAAAAGGCAATTAGATTGCCTTTTAAAGGAATTTAACAGATGGTGATCAATCAGAGGAGCCAGTATAATATCATTAGCCAGAAGTGCTTTATAGACCACATTTATTCAAATTTCCCATTAGAGAATTCCACCAGGGTTCTGAGATGCAGCCTAGACCAGGGCTGTGGTTAGCTTATTTTTATAGAGAGGAGGTAATTACAAAGTTCAGAGCAGAAGTTTCCCAACTGTTCATTATCTGTGGGGTTTTCACACCTCTTTACAACAAACAATCCTTATGTGCCAACATATTCCTCCACATTTAGCAGCCAGTGATTGCCTCAGCTCAATCTCACAGTGGAATAAACATCTGTCACTGGGGATCTATCTGATTACTGGACCTGGAAGGGACTCCCAGAGCTTCGTGTGCATGGCTTCACCTCTGGGCTGCCTTCATGCCCTCCATGCATCTGGTTCCCTTCTGACTGTACTTTCAGACTAACTTGCAATAATCTTGAAATATCTTTATCTTCACAATGTCCCTATAAAGCAGGAAGCACTGTTTATCCACTGTACAGGGAAAATGAGAACAAGCTCTATGAGATATAATTCTAACTGAAATGACTGCATTAAAATCTACTAAAAGATGAGAAACAAGTGGTAGTTTTCACACAGGATAAGGGTTACCAGCAGTGCACTTCTTGGATCTGCATTGGGTTCTGCCAGGACTTGCTCATCAATGATTTGAAAAGAAGAACAGGAGTAACAGACCTGAAATTTCACAAGAATGAGCAGCAGATGTGATTAAATGGGAACTAAAATTCAACATCAGTAAATGTGTAGTACTGGTCACATGAAAAAAAATAAAATAGAAATGGGATGTGTGAGGTCAGGCTTCCAATTTGATACACAAGCTGTAGAAAATCTCCTAGGATTTCTGGTCCATTCTCTAGAAACATTAGCTGTGAGCTCAGAGGCAATCATAATGAAACTAGAACAGAATTGTTGGGAAATAGTAGCAGAAATCCTTATTAATTCCATGGTACACTAGTCCTCATAAGTCTTAAATACTACAGGAATTATCCTTATGGTTAAGGCCTCCAAATGTTCCTGGAGAATCTAGAGAATCTGCAAACAAGCATTCTTACACTCCATAAAAGAAATCCTTTTCATAGGAGCCCTGCCTTCCTCTGCCACTGAACCTCCCTTTAAAATTGCACTGCCTGCTGCTCCTCCCTGCCTCTCCATACATCCCCCAAAAGCTTCCTGCTGGGTAGCTCCGGGCTTCTCCCTCTATCAAGTGATATATTGATATATTGATATATATATATTTCCTTTAGTTCATTGTTTTGGTTTGGTCTGCTTTCCCATAAAAACAAATCAGAAATACTCTTTAGAATCTGCCACAACTATCAAGACTTGGTCTCAGAGTGATGGAAAAAAGCTACATATATTTATCTTCATTCCTCATTAGTAGATAGTTTTTACTTGTGGATACTTGTAGAATTGTAAAATATGTGAAGTCTCATGGAAATATCAGTATTTAGCAGCAGCAAGACAAAATCCTGCTGGCTTCAAGTGAAATAACAGGCTTTTTTTTCAGACATGAAAGTATGCAGGTGGTAAGAGTTAACAAGTAGCCATGAATTGCAAAACCACAATACCAGTTAAGTATGATTCTTCTTGATAAAGATTCCAGGCAAATTCCCAAATTTCCAAGCAGCAGCAGAATTAAAGTTACAATTTCAGCCTAGCTCTGTTAGCAGTCCATAGTAATAACAGGGGTTGAAGACTTACGTGGGGAATTTAAATATAGAGAAATAAATGACATGACTGTGTTAAGGCAGCAAAGGAGGGAGCAAGATTCCTCTCTTCCCCAGACTGAGACTTTCCTTTCTGGGCCAAGCAACCTTGCTCATAGCACTGAGAGTTCTAGCCTATGTTTTCAGTGCTGCCCAGAGTAGCTGGAATCCCTAAAGAGAGAAAAGTAAATTCTGTTAGCTTCTCTGGGGTAAACTGCCTGCTCTTGTTGGTAAGACACTGAAGCTAATCCATTATATTCAAGAGAATAATCCATACAGCTATATATACACATACATTATAATGAGCTTTCCAAAACAAATGCTCATATAAAACTCAGCTTTTCTTTGTAGCAAGTGCAGAAGAAGTTTCAGCAGGCACTGTATGGCAGAACAGGTGAGTTAGCTGTAACTGCCTTAAACTGCTGCTCCCAGCATCATTCTTACTGCAGCTGAGTGGCACTCAAACAGATGTGAAATTGTTTCTAACCTTTGAAAGCCAAAGGAAATGAAGTCTCCTCCTCCAAATGAATTTTCCCACTTATTAGTATGAGTAAGAAGCAAACATGCCAGCAATGACAGGAAATTGTTTTTAGAAAGCTATTTCTGATCGATACAACTGAATGATTGCTATTAAGAGTGATTATTAAATATGAGTTTCAAAGTTCGTATCTTTTTGCACATTATGCCATTCATGTGATTTATTGCATAATATCCCCAGTAATATTATTTTTTTTCCCCCACTGCTCATCTGGAGAAACCACAGATGATGAACTGCTGGAGAGACTCCCCACAACTAGCTTCAAACATGCTCAGCCTCATTAGTTTTAGACACACTGGCTCATAAAAATCTTCAAACATACTGAGAGGTTCCATGTGTGTCCCAAAACTAATACACACAGCAAACTGCAATCTGTGTAAAATGGCAAAATCCCTCAAAAGAGATCTAAAAGACCTCTATTCCTACTCCTTTCACATTATTACAACAGGATGACTTGAATGCATTCAGAGTGGTATCACCAGAAAAGGAGGTTGATGCTAGTGGGTGCTGAAATGTAATGTCTTTTCCATACACTCCAATTACACAAAAGTGACAAAGGTTTGGAATCATCAAACTATTCGGTTATCGATTGGCCTTCAGACAGACAGCATTTGTTTCGAGGTTCTCCCTCTACCCTTGTGTTCCATTAAACTCACTGCAGTTATCAGTCAGAACAAATTGCTTTTTGGAAGATTAACTAAGTTAGATGGTAAGGCTAAGTGCACAATCTATTCTCTCTTCCCAATCACTTACAGTTCATCAGCTCCTGTAATAAAAAATGAGAACATTAAAAGTCTCACAAGGAGCAGGGCTAGAAAGGCACATCATGTTTTAATCACTTGATTTTTTTTTCCCCCTTTTCCACAAAACGTTGAAGAACACGGGACCGTCAAAGGGAAGACTGAGACTTCCGTTGGTTTCCCAATTGAAAAAACCCATAAACATAAGAGATAAGAACTTCACAGCACCCTCTGAGGATGCCTTTTTTCCTGTCAAATTCAGCTGAAGAATGATTATTTGAAATAAAAATTAAATTCATGCTGATGAATCAATCTTTAATCGACAATCCCATCAACAAATGAATCCATCAACAGAGGACTTACAAAGCCTCAGGCTAGTTCTTTCTAAAATGTATCCCCACTGAAAACAGAGAAAGTATACTCAGTATGGGGAGAGAATTTGGTTCCCTGCGTTCTGATCACCCTGTATACAGCTTTTTCAACTCTGCAGTGAATATTGCAGTATGATTTAATTTGAGCTGCCATAGAACAAAGATGAAAATATGCCAGACAGAAAAATAACTATTTTTTTCTTATTTATATTGTCATGTGCAATCTTTTATATGGAAGACATTTTCAATAAAAACTTTTGCAGAACCATAAAACATCATCACTCTATACACATGAGAGGGAGAAGAAATAGCTTGGCGTTTCCTGCAACAGCCTGAACCACTGAAGTCCTTACCTCGGTTTAGTATTCCCCTAAACAAAGCTTATACAGAAACGAACAGATTTCTGCCCACTTAATTGGGATCCCTGAAAATCCCTTAATTTGATTCTAGATAGTGCTGGGCAAAGTAGTTGATGTACGCTGAAACACAAGGTCAAATGTGTTGGCTTCCTAACGAAGAGCAAGGGTACATGGTGTACATGGAGAGATGATGCTGCAGCCAAAAGAAGAGGCTCTGCTGTATGGCTCCTGCCCTGT